AATGGTTTTCCAAACGACTTTTCATGGTGGAGACACCTTGCCAGTAGTTTTACTTGCCAGCCTTTACTGGACCTGATGGCTTTCAAAGACGTGCAGAACTATCCGGTTCAGATATTTTAAAACGAGATCTGAGATCAGCCAGTGGGCACTGGAGTGACATTCTAGGGATGTGTCAGCAGCCCGGGGTACGGAGAAAGGGGCCACAGCTACCCACTTCTGTACCTCACCTGAACGGTAACGTTGGAGCTAAAGGACAAGGTGTGAGAAATTTCTGTTTTCGATGAGAATAGGATGTGACCTGCCGGGGACACTAGCAAGGGCGTAACTTTGGGTTGAGCACTGGGGGAGTTGAGGTCTCCAAAGGGGGCATGCCGGGGCATTGATCATGCTACATCGGGCCCAATCAAAAACGCCACCCAGACCCATTTAGAGCCAAACTGAAAATCACGCCAGCTTCTGGTAAACCCCAAAATTCTGGAAGGTCTTAGTTGAAGAACCGTTTTTACGACCAAACTCAACATGGCTGCGTTTGCCAAGCGCCGACAGGCATCAGAAAACCTTTAAGATCTCCATCAGGCATGCAGTTTGGGTTCAGTACTTGGGACGTTACTTCTTAAGAGGATTTTGGCAGCAGGGGAGCTGTTATGAGTTCCAAATACCGAGAAAAATTATTTTAGTTCAGAAGCCCATCAGCTCATATTAAATTAGTGGTTTAACCATTCTTCCAGAAGAACACCACAATCACATTGATCGAGATGTCAGTCCAAAGAAGGCTAAGTGACACTCCCCACTACAAACTCAACCCAGATGCAACCCAGATGTGTAACAATATCTAACAACAGCTGTTTAGTTAGAGGAGCAAAGCATGTGGAAGTATGGTCACTCCATTTCTGACTTGGAAATCCCAAGTTCATAGCTATACAGGGCAGGCTATGGATATGAGGCACAGCAAGAGAATTCAGGTGAGGCAATCTGAGTCCCATTCACCAAAGCACATGTAGGCACGCCCACCAATGGAAACATCAATGCAGAAGTCAAAAGGGGGCGGGGCTTAGAGCCTCCGCCACAGAGGAATGCAACACCGGCTGTCCTGACAGGATTTCAGCTGATACCACAGATACATTCCTTGCAACAATCATCGCCATCCTTACCAGCGAGTTGGGGGAGAACCCCACACCCTCTTGCAGGATAAACAGATTTACGCCATTGTCCCTCCAGAGCAGGGGTCTCAAACTCCAGCCCTGGGGGGCCAGAGGCCTGCACATTTTTGGGTTTCCCCTCATTTAACACACCCGATTCAACTCCTTGTGCTAATTACCACGCAGCTCTTGAGCTGAATCATTTGTGGTGGAACAGGGAAAGAGCTAAGCTACACAGGGCTCCGGCCCCCCAGGATCGGAATTTGACACCCCTGCTCCTGAGTTTCCAAAACAACTCAACGACAACTCAAATCAAAGCTTAAACAGCCACCACAGAGCACAGTGCATGTGTCTGACGAAACTTTGCATAGAATCAACCACCCCACACATACCCATCACCGGCTGGCCATGGGATCTCATGTAAGGTACCTGCGATTGCTCAAATGGAAATCCAGGTATATACACCTTAAAGAAGCACCCAATGATGCAAATGTTGCAAGCCTACAAATCACATGCGGCAGCTAGAGATACATGACATCATCAGCAGCTGTGTTGCCATTATCACCCAGTCAGCTCCAAGTCTCAGCCTCTTTGTGAAATTGGCACGACAGGCATGGCACTGCAGCACAGTGTCATTTGGGTTTCTCTGTTGTACCACCGTAGCCTACAAACTCAACCCAGATGCAAACCACCAGCTGTACAAAAAAAATTAAGTGGGTCATTATATAATATAAAGTTGCACCATTAAGTGATAAGCATTATTCAAAAATACTATGTGTATGGTCCCACCCTCCCCACCAAATCCTAGTAATAATCTGTCATCAAGCACATCACAAAGGAGAGGACATAAAAAATGCAAAACGCCCCCCGTAAAAGTGACTATATACGACTTTTGCACCAGGTCAGCATATGGGAACTTCAACGCGATGCACCTTGGCGGGTGTTGAGGGACGTCCTACTTTGATCATGTTTCCGGAGCAGCCCTGACAAGCCGTCCACACAGACAGACACACACACACACACAAAGTGCACAGACAGCAGGAACCACCGCGATGTCCCCTCCGGAAGGCAACCCACGGACAGCCATCGCGGGAGGGGCCCGACGCAAATAGGACAGAGCTTGGCTGCATATTAACAAGGCGCCGGTCCTATACCGCGGTACGGGAAATACACCAGCGGCCGGCGGAACAATGATTGCTCTGAGACCGTGAGGCCTGTCCTAAAAATAAATAAGCAAATAAATAAATAAAAATAAGCACCTGCTTGCCTTTGATCTCTCTGAACCTGTGACGCAATGATGTGGGTGTCATTTAATTACTGTCATTTGTATGCACAAAACAATGCTTGAGTAAGCAGATCTGGAAAGAAGCTTTGGGATTTTTTCTTTTTTGTCAACTAAAGAACAAACGGATTCAGACGGCTACGTGCTTCAGGCTGAGGACTATTCAACTGTATGTCAGCGTCGAGTCAGCAGGCAGAAAATGACGTACTGCTAGCAGCCTTCGGCGTAAACTAAAAACACAAAGTGTTATGGCCGATGACAGTTATGACAGTTTAAAAAAAAAACACCCACTTTGAATTGAACCTACCCGTTATCATCGATCTTGCAATTTTCCACCGATTATTCAATGCAGAGCCACGGAAAACCTGGAGCCTGTCCCAGCAAACGCAGAGATGGGGCAAAGAGCAGCAGCCCGTGGCAGACCAATGACAGACTAAGGGCAAGTTAGAAATGCCCTTTTCTAATGGTGATGACCTTGGAATACCAGAAGGAGCTGCACTCAAACTGAAACGCACATACGTGGATGATTGAGGCCACTGGATACGCTATAATAGGACTGTGGGAGCCACGAGGACTGCGGCCCCCCTGGAAAGCCACGAAACACATCGCCGCTTGCTAATCGCGGAGGGGAATAATACGCGAGATCAATGAACCTGCAAAAATGCGCCGCATGCTGACTGCGATTAAATACAGCCGACTTTTCCCGCAATTAATTTCTGTTCTTTGGCAATTACAGTTATTAACTATCAAAATCATTGTCATAAGCGTCGTCTATTTTCGTCTTCATTATCTTGTAAAACGCCGCGCAGTAAACATTGCTTTGCAGAAGTTAAGTGGTTTCGTTTAATGAGGAAATGCTGCCACCTAGCGTCTGTGCTTTGTGACAATTACCGGCTGCATGAGCACTACAATAATTTGCTGTTATTTGATTACATTTATGTGCGGGCAAATTAATTTAAACTCTCAGCAGAAAGAAATACTGTGACAAAAATGAACAATAAAATTCAGGGGTTGCAGGTGTACGCACAACATCTTTCGTCGTTTTGACTACAGGTGCAAAACAGGAATATAGGCCAACGCGAAATACGAATAACGGCACATTACCGGTAGTTCAAGAGGATACTTTCATGGATTGTTAAACGTATCGCTAGGTCCCAAATGGCTTCAAACATCAATTATGTAATGCAATCATTTGTTAGATGATGATCTTACAAAAACACTATAGTCTGAACTTGGCGCCAGGAGCTCTGATCCGTCGGTATTTATAGAAAATAATGGAAGAGAGATTCATGCACTTTACTGTAGATAGTTGCTCACTCTGATCAGTTACAGTAAACGGGACCTTTGAGAATAGTGTGCGGCGAATTTTGCAGCGTTGGCAAACGAAACTTGTATGCAAGACTTTGACATTGCCCTGTTCCGTCGGTTTTATTTATTAGAAAATGCGAAATATGATTTGCTGCAAACTTCTGACAGATCATTAAGTGCAATGGCCATGAAAATTAATAGATTTCCTTCACGCGTTACGTCCTGACAGTACCAACAATGAAATCTCCACAGACCTTACCCGTGTTTACTGCCCGCTTTTTTATTATTAAACTTTCAAAAAGCTGAAATCTATCAACATGCTCTAAATCGTCGAAGCGTTGATGCATGCTGAAAACATTAAATAATGTTTAACTGCACTTTCGGAGTAAGAGTTTCGGTGTTAGTGGATATGCGATTCCGGAATATGATCGATAAATGACCCTAAACCTAACGGTAATGGGGAATGCCAAATATAATTCCTAACCTGCAGTTTCAGCTACACTGCCGTCGAAAGAAGAGTTAAACACACCCTTATTATGCTCCTAGCAAAATAAAACTACCCAGTACGACCCTCCATTTGTCAGAGGCTCGTACTGCCTACGTAAGAAATGGAATTTCGACGGAACAATTACAAACGGTGTCATGGCGACAGTGCACTAAGTTCGTGGTTCGGTGCATCAATGGTTGCCAACTCTCACGCATCTGGCGCCAGACTCATGATTTCAGACTCTCACGCAAGAAATCTTACAGAAAACCTACATTATTCTATTATTAAAATAATATCACCTACATCAGGAGTGTCAAACTCCAGTACTGGGGGGCCGGAGCCCTGCACAGTTTTTGCGTTTACCCTCATTTAACACACCAGATTCAACTCCCTGTGCTAATTACCACACAGCTCTTGAGCTGAATCATTTGTGGTGGAAAACAGAAAGAACTAAGCTACAAAGGGCTCTGGCCCCCCAGGACTGGAGTTTGACACACCTGACCTACATCAAAAATGCAGGGGGTATTTTGCAAACCCTACAGAATGTTTTCAAAATGATAACACTGTTATATGCATGTAAACGCATGTGCATGTGTGTGCAGACGTGCCTCAAATTGAAAATCTCCCTCCAGCCAGCTGACCAAAGTTGGCAACCCTGGTGTGTAACATGGAGTCTGTTAGCTTTCGTACCAACGACGACATCAAGAGCGACACAATTAAACAATATTCCCAGGTTAAAGACAAGTTAGAGTGACTGGCTGGGAGGAACAGGCAAACAGCATAATGAAATTCGCACTTTGTAGTTTATTTCAAAGCATTTCTTCTGTACACTGGTAGGGCGGTAGTTGATGTATACATTTGGTTCACCTATGAGGTTCCTTAATGCTATGTTGTTGTTACTACCGAATCCTCCCGAGTTGTGGCCCCTAGGTAATTCTGCTTGGCAGAGTAGCTCAGATAAAAGATAACCAGACTTTGCGGGAGCTGGGAAAAGTTCTCTCCTTTGGGTGCCACTTCTCCAGAAGTATCATACAGCAGTTCTGTGCACGAACCCTCAGGCATGGAAATTAATAATGAAAAAAGACTTGGACGAGAGCCCACCGACTACAAAAGATGTAACTTCTTTGTCGGCCTTTTAAGTCGCCAGTTATTATTATAATGTTATTTTCGCAAATTTACACCATCCAGAATGCGTCAGTGACATCAGAGAAAAGTGAAACGGCCTGAGAATTTTACCATCTGATCAGAGTTCTCATTATCACGGTACGAAGGACGCAAACGTGACTCGTCTTCTGCGGCAGCAGCAATCACGTGGCCCACTTAACGTAACCCGAAATGAGTCATTTTTAATCTGTGCACGCTGATTAACACACAATTTACAAAGGCGAATACATGCCTTTTTGAGATTTAAAGATTATAGATTTGCACTCCTGCATCTCTCTCGTTTCTCGTCCTTACAGGAGCACCCATAATGCGATATACGAGGCGAGTGAATACACGGCGACTGCACCGGCCGCTTTGATCAGGTAATCTATGATCTGCTCAGAGTCTACAAAATGGTCTGCACGGCTTCCCATTCGCAGGAGGTCGTTAGAAGAACGTCTCTCTACACAAAGGGCAAGTGGACTTGTTGCTTGATGTGAACCACTTGTACTGTAAAGAAAAAGGGGGGGGAGGGGGAAGAGAAAGTGTAACAACAGTTATTATAAAAGCTGTGGCTACATGTGTGATTGAAGAACATCATTAAAAGACAGGCTAATGAACATATGTCTCTATACATATACAGTGGTGATGTCATCTCAGTGACACATTGTAAAACTAACTGAAGCAGCTCATTGGTATATTTACATTATCAGTACAGACATCCATCCATCCATCTACCCATACCTACATCCATCCATCCATCCATCACTTTTAACCAAAACAATGTGCATTTTAGAAAGCATGGTCAGCCAGCTCCTGGAGCAACTGGGGTTAAGAGGGAAGTTCAAGGGAAGTTATTCTGCTGATCATGGGATGTAAGCAGGCAACCTTCTGATGATGGTCATAGTGTCCTAACCCAGTGAGTCGAGCCACGCACTCAGCTCTCATTAAACAGCATCTTCAACTATCCATTATCTGAGTTTGTTTTTCTGTTTTGTGAAAGAAAATTAAAATGGCGGAGCAATTAAAATAGGAAACAAATGGTCCATCTGTTTCAACTAAAAAAAACTTAATTTTTAGAAATGTTTGAGTTCGTTGTGTTTGGGCTTAACCACATTAAAGTCGACATGCAAACTGGAAAGCATATGTTCAGGGGCGTGTGCGTGTGCGTGGACTCTGACCAGACACGCCGAGTGGAACTTCTTCTTGCACGTTCGGCAGGCCTTCTTGGGCAGGGAGTAGTTCGACCCGTGGATGACAGAAAAGCAGATCATGCAGTCTTCCACACCCTCAAAGCGTTTGTCCACGTTGTTCTTCCACAGTGCCAGGCCCTCCATGATGCTGCCGTTCTGAATACACACACACACACACACACACACACACACACACACACACATGGTCAGCTGACTCAGCCATCATCAGACCCTCCACTTTCAGTCATCTTGTCTGATGGGGAGTGGCCTGAGGTACTGTGACCTCTTCTGATTGGTGTGATTTATATGGTATTACGGAAAGAGTCATTACCCAGACTGCACTGCTTCTCGATGGCCTGCCTCACTGTAGCCACTAATGGCTGCTTAGCAGCTTCTCTTCCATGACAGTCTGACATTATGCAATCATGGCCATAAAATGACTCCTATTATACCCTGAATGCACTGGGGAGTATGGTGGTTCAAGTCAGACTTGTACCCAGGCAGCTATGGATTCAAGTGCAAAGCCTCCCTGCTGTTATACCAAAAGCAAGGTGCTTAAACTGGACTTACCCAGTAAAACATCCAGCTGTTTATAAGGGGTGACACTAAATCGTCTCGGATAAAACACAGTGGTATAGTAGTGGAGCATATTATAATATTTATCTGAAGGGCCGCCTACTGACAAGCACATGGCTGGGTCAGGAGCAGATATAGGGGCGGGACCACAGGGGCTGAAAACATATCATTGGCTAATGATACTGCTGGACCCCCTAAATGAATTTTGGTCCCTCTCATGTCCCCCACTGTGTGCAGCTATACCTGGTGCGTCAGGTAGGTGCTCAGCTGCAGCGTCCAGTTGCGCCACTGCTGCGCTGAGACGCCGACACGGCGTCCGCTCTCCACCGAGATGGAGCCCAGGGGGTAATTCAGAGGCAGCTGGATCACCAGCTCGATGAAGATGTCATCCACGGAGTAGGTGGCAATTGCTTCCCTCGCGGCTGACCGTGCCTTCACCTAAGTGTGCAGAGATACCCAAGCTTTTTAGAGCTAGACCCAACCAGCTAACATTTGATTTAACTGATCAGAGGCCTGTACTACGAAGCGGGGTTACTGGCTCATCAGGGTAACTTGTCGGATTTAAGGTAGCACAGTTTAAATGGACTTCATATTTGTTCACTTTTTGCCCAGACTACCTTAAATCCGACAAGTTACCCCGATAAGCCAGCAACCCCGCTTCATAGTACAGGCCGCAGATTAGCGTTTCTTAACATAACTGTCCAGTTAGGACATCTGATTATAATAAAGACTTTTTCATTTAAGGAGTGCCTTAAGAAGTTCGGATATCCGGGAGGGCCTCGGAGTAGAACCGCTGCTTCTTCACGTCGAAAGGAGCCAGTTGAGGTGGTTTGGACATCTGGCGCGGATGCCTCCTGGGCGGCTACCCGGAGAGGTTTTCTGTGCATGTCCTACAGGGAGGAGGCCCCGGGGCAGACCCAGGACATGCTGGAGGGATTATATCTCTCGGCTGGCCTGGGAACGCCTCGGTGTCCCCCCCGAGGAGCTGGTGGGGTTAGCTGGGGAGAGGGAGGCCTGGGTGCCTCTACTGAAGCTGCTACCCCCGCGACCCGAACCCCGGACAAGCGGAAGATGATGGATGGATGGATGGATGGATGGATGGAGTGCCTTAGTTTGGTTTTGGTTTCATCTGGCCCCGAGGACCGGGTTGGCAAACACTGGATTAGGTAAATAATGGACAAATGACCAAAAATCTTCATTATGTACCTAATTCTACACAGCTCTAATGAAGAGGAAAAACTGGATGGGGGAAGGGGGGCATGCCAAGAGTGAAGTGAAGTGAAGTGGGCTTCACTGTCATACAGGTACACGGCGGCACGAGATAAGGTGCCCCAAGGACCGTTGGGGCAACACAGGCAGCCAGCGAGGAGTGGATTCACAAGCAGTAAAAAAAATAATAAAAAATTAGAACAATAATAAAACAGCAACAATGACAAAAATAGTCATTTGAAAAAGTGCATAACAGAGCGGGACGAGGAGAAGGAGCGGTTACCGTGACTACAATGAGAATGAACACAATGGACCCAACTGGTTGGGGCACTCACCGTCATGTTCTCGAAGGTCTGCGTGCTGCCGTGCACGGCGGCGATCTCCTGGGAGGACAGCACACCGCTCACGTACTTGCTGGTGAAGCGGTCGACGGCGGCGGAGACGCGCTTGTCCTGGCCGTTCCACCAGAGGCGCACCATGGCCGGCATGTCCTTGAGCGTGGCGTAGTACACTGAGCAGGCCAGGTGGGCCAGCTCCCTCTCCAGCCCCTTGCTTCCTAAGGAGGGGGGTGTCAAAGGTTAAACAGATATACCAAAAAAAAAAAAAACGACCCCGGCCAAGGTCATCGCAATAATTTGTCCAAATTATTTAGCCAGCTGACTACTGTGAGGCAGCCCAAACCGAATTCAGGTCACTGCTTCAAGTGGTCACCAGCCAAAGGCTGACAGCAGGGGGCGCCGCTAGGGCTGTTTACTCGTAAAATTTCCTTTAGCCCCTCAAATAAAACGTATACTGATTAGTTTAAAGTGTCTTCTCATTCATTGTCATTAAAACCTGGCCCACCTAATAATGGGGGCTGTAATTCTCCTCCCGGTTCTTTATACCGGAACCCTTTATGCCTCTCTTTCCATACACCTCTAGCGCCACTTTAGGCTGATAATGAACCCTCAGCTTACCCTTGCTGACTTAAGGACGCTGAGCGGGTTGTGGGTGACTGCTGGAAGAGAGCTGACACCAGGTAGGGGGGAGGCTTTGCCACATCCTCAGCGTGTACGGCTTTAAGTCAGCCCCCCCCCCCCTTCCATTTTTTGGGCCCCCCCCCCCCCCCCCCCTCACTTTGTCCCGATTTCTTGTTTGAATTTGTGTTTAACTGAACCTTTTGTTTTCCCCCAAACCCCCGCCGCGTGTTCGTCCTGCCCCGCGGCCGTCCTCCACCCCCCATAACTTGCCGCACTACAATAAATCACAGCGGAAAAGCCTGAAGGATCTGGGTTAGCATGCAGTATGAGACAAAGCGGGCTGCTGGAAATAGTTCAGCCCAGTAAATTCAAAGTCACACCCAGAGGCAGGGAGCACAACAATAGGTATTTAACCTCATGCTGTACCAATGAGATTTTACCGTGAAACGAAACAATACCCACTGTGGTCTGGAGAGTCAAGGGAACCTCGACCTGAACTCGAAGCCCGGACCTGTTGCTAGGCAGCCCCCCCCACCCCCCAGCTTCCGGGGCCACTTTTTGCATTTAGGCCTCTCCCGTCACGCGTGTGACGAGCAGAGCGCGTCGACTCACCGCGGACAGACAGCTCCAGAGCCTCAGTGAATAAGGTCTTGGCGTCACGGGCGCCCGACTCGGCCGGCTGCCCGGGGAGGACGGGGTTCTCTGGCATGAGCCGGAACAGATGCTGCAGCAAGCAGTGGAGGGAGCCGCTCTTCCGCAGGTACTGCGAGTACTGCACACGCAGCTGGAGACACACCCGCAGATGCTTGCAAGTCTAGTATAAAATATCCTCTTGGATGCATTTTACATATTTGACATTTTATACATTTACTTGATGCTTTTATGACGTACATTTTTGAGAGACAGCAGGGTCAGACAGCCCCTGGAGCGATTGGGGGTTAGGGGCCTCGCTCAGGGGCCCAACCGTGCAATCACTCTGCCAAGTCTGGGATTTGGACTGGCGACCTTCCGATCACAGGCACAACATGCAAACCCACCAAGTCACACCACACTATATGAATTAATGAGTTTTACATGAACTGTGGTTTGACAGTTTGCTAAGAATTTAATTTTGTGCACGAATGACAACAATGTCACAAAATAGGGCGCAAAAGCTGACAGGTTCAAATTCAAAATTTGCTGCACCCTACAGCGCTGTACCAGTGGTACAACTTAGTGAGCTAAGAAACACCACAATGTTACTTAAACAAGAAAAATTGAAAAATAATAAAAGCTAAAATAATTGCTCTCTGACCAGGTGAAACAGCAGACGCTCACCTGGGAGGAAGAGGCTTTGAAGAAAGTGAGAATGAGCTTCCAGATGAGCAGGTAACCCAGGATGCAGCAGGACTCGTCGCTGAGGGGCTGCACCACGGCAAACTCGCCCACCTGCAGGGCACCCAGGACACCGTCCATCAGCTCCTCCATAGCCACCAGGATGGACATCAGGGCAGCGGGGGGCGAGCTGCGGGCAGGCAATGAAGGGTTAACGAAAGAATAAGGGCGTTAAAGGATGAATGAGGGAGTTAATGAATGAGGGAGTTGATGAAAGGATGAATTAATGACGAATGAGGGAGTTAAAGGATGAATGTGGGAGTAAATGAATGGGGGAGTTAAATGACGAATGAATGATAAATGAATGTGGGAATTGATGATGATGGATGGACAAATGAGGGAGTTGAATTAATGAGTTAAAGGATGGATGGATGAGTTGACACCAGACTGTTACTGTAATACATTTGTAATTAGCACCTATTCAGACCTCGGAACCCCAACTGGGCTGACCGAGCCCCATGTGAACCTGCAAAGCCGTTACAAAAACAGTGTTTGTAAAGAGAGCGGAGGGCTTACAGGCTGGGCTCTTCCTCATCGTTGTCATCCTCGCATCTGGCATTGTTGCTGTCGACGTCATACTTCGGCAGCTCCGGCATCACCCTGATCATGAATAAGTATATGGGTTCCGTCACAAACAAACACACATGGAAAACGGTCCCCATAAGGGGAAAAAAAACAGATATTTATCACGTTATGGGGACATTGTGTCCCCATAAGGATAGGTAAACCCGCTCGCGCACACACAAACACACACACGTGTCATCATACTTGTGAAGGACGTGGAACACGGCGAGCTGCACCGGCCGGGCCTTGAACAGCAGCAAAGGGGCCAGAGTGTTCAGGAGGGTCTGCAGCGGTTCAGGCAGGTTGGTCCGCTGGGCCACCACAAAACGAGGTGGCAGCTTGTTCTGCATGACCATCTGCACCGGCACGTAGCACAGCACCTCCCCGACCGCGCCCAGCACAGGCAGGGGGAAGAGAGCATCATCGGGGTCTGGGAACTCCTCTGAAGACCGAAACAGGCAGGCGTTAACATCAAACCAGAAAACCACCCGCGAGCAGAAGAGATGTGCTGCGTTGGCATCCGACCCGTGATGGTGACCAAGAGGGGCAAGAGCCGGGTGTGGATTCCCTCAAGGAAGAACTCCTCCCACTCGCTGGTCAGGTTGGCAGGAATTTGGTCAGCCGCTCCAGCAGGGGGCGATGAGAAAAACTGGCTCAGCTGCACAATGAGGTCACAGTTCTCACAAACAAACAGCTGCACCCAGGGGTTCCAGAATGAGGCCGTATTCTCTGTGACAGTCTGGCAAAGAGGATCAGCTTGTCAGTACTTTACAGATTTAAAAACATCTGTAATTTTACATTTAAACTGATATAGAAATATCTATTGCTTGGCATGTACTTTTATTCGTTTAAAAAAAAAAAAAAAATTACTGCCCTAATGCAGCTGCAAGTTAAGTACCTTACAACAAACTATAGTACAGCTCCTTCTGGGAGAGGAACCAGCAATTTTTAGGTTACAAGTCGACGTCATTAACCACTATGTTACCTGCAGCCCCGGAGTTAAGTAATTATGTATTATTATCCCCTGAAGAAGTGGCCTGTTGCAGCAGGATATTTTCCCATCATTAATAATGTTTTTGCCACTTTCATTCACCTCCAGCCAGGCCAACATGGAGCAGAGCAGGAAGTCCCACTGTGTATCCAGGAGGATCTCCGAACATTGCGTGACCCCCCAGCACAGGAAGCGCCCCATCTCCACATTGAGTGACAGCAGCCCAGCAGGGACCTTCTTCAGGTCACTGAAACCAGGTCAAAATACATATAAAAAATGTATAAGGGGAAAAAACCAGCCACAGCACTCATTAGCAGTCTATTCACAGCTATACAAAACCAATAGCTTCAATTACAATTATCAACACTGCTGATTCTTAATCTTGGTTCACAGCCAACGTTTATAATTAGCTGTTAATAAGCGAAAAGCTGCAATTTCTGACCATTTTCTACTGAATTTAAATGGCCCGGTGCAACAGAGCTTCTTACGGAGGCTGAGAAACACTGATGACATTAATAGATCCTCAACTCATTTTGCATTTTTAATCAAAAACTAACAGCCAGTGAGACAGATCCATTTCAAACATCTACGTCTGTTGCCTTCAGTTTGCGAATTAAAACTGCAGATTGTCTCCCACACGTACACACGCACGTACACACACGCACGTACACACACGCACGTACACGCACGCACGTACGTACACACACGCACGCACGTACGTACACACACGCACGCACGTACGTACACACACGCACGCACGTACGTACACACACGCACGCACGCACGTACACACACGCACGCACGCACGTACGTACACACACGCACGTACGTACACACACGCACGTACACACGTTTGTATTCATATCTTTGTGGGGACTCTCCATTTATTTCAATGGGGAAAACCCTAATCCCAACAACGACAACCATAACCCCTACCCCACCCTTAACCTTAACCGTAAGTAACCAAACAAAACATTTTTAGCTTTTTGTTTGCAGTCATAGATTTTCATAAAATTGACGTCTCTTAACAGCTGCCACTCTTCTGGGAAGAGTTTCCACAAGATTCTGAAGTGTATCTGTGGGAATTTTTGCCCGTTCATCCAGAAAAGCATTTGTGAGATTGGGCACTGATGTTGGACATGAAGGCCTGGCTTGCGATCTCCATTCCAGTTCATCCCAAAAATGTTCGATGGGGTTGAGGTCAGGGCTCTGTGTGGGCCAGTCAAGTTCTTCCACACCAAACTCACCTAACCATGTCCTTATGGACTTTGCTTTGTGCACTGGGGCACAGTCATGCTGTTCCCACAAAGTTGGAAGCATAGAATTGTCCAAAATGTCTTAGCATGCCAAAGCATTGAGTTCCCTTCACTGGAACTAAGGGACCCAACCCGGGAGGTACAGCCCCATGCCATTATCCCTCCTCCACCAAACTGTACAGTTGGCACAATGCAGCCAGGCAGGTAACGTTCTGCTGGCATCTGCCAAACCCAGACTCGTCCATCAGACTGCCAGAGAGAGGCATGATTCGTCACTCCACAGAACACATTTCCACTCCAGTCCAGTAGTGGTGTGCTTTATCTGACGCTTGGCATTGCGCTTGGTGATGTGAGGCTTGCATGCAGCTGCTCAGCCAAGGAAGCCCATTCCATGAAGCTCCCAGAGCACAGTTTTTGTACTGCAGTTAATGCCAGAGGAACTTTGGAACTCTGCAGTTGTTGAGGGAACAGAGTGTTGGTGACGTCTAACGCACTATGTGCCTCAGCACTGAGCAACCCCGCTCTGTTACTTTACGAGATCTGTCACTTCATGGCTGAGTTTCTGTTGTTCATAAACACTTCCACTATTCAATGATACCACTACAGTTGATGTGGAATATCGAGCACAAAAGATATTTCATGAACTGACTTACTGCAAAGGTGGTCGTCCTATGACGGCACCATGCCTGAATTCACTCATTCACAATGACCCATTCTTTCACAAATTTCTGTAAACCTGACTGCATGGCTAAGTGCTTTTATATACTTGTGGCAATGGATTTGAATGAAACATCTGAATTCAATGATTGAGAGACGCATCTCAATACTTTTATCTAGGGTTGAACGATTAAAATATTTCCATGATGTGCTTTACAGAGAGATCGTTAGTATTGTGATGCACAATAAACATCCTATCAGTTGCTGTTCTATGGCTTGTACATGCATCTGAAGTTGTTTTGTGAGTCAAATCTGTTTCAACACACCAATAAACTGGTGACAGCCAACAGCAAGCAGTGCCTTGGATTTCCTCCTCGCTCTCTTTCGCCCCCTCGTCCCAAGCAATGAGCAACATGCTACACATTCCCTATTTGGTAACGTAGGGACAGAGACGACATGGAGGAGCTGGTCCCTAAAAATAATTCAACATCGGTAATATGGAACTTCTTTGGATTTTCCAAAATCCACACAGTCACTGTAGAGTAACTTGCAAACCAACATGAAAAAGAATCGTGATAAGATCGTGGATCATGAAAAAAAAACCGTGATATGATATTCGATATTTTTGCTGTATCGCCCACCCCTACTTTTGTCCATATAGTGTACAAACCCACACAATACACAGTACATCTCTTCTCAATCTATGATCAAACGTTCTCACCTGCCAAACAGAAAGCGCTCTTCCTTGGAGTTGCGCCATTCCATCAACATGGCCATAACGCCCTGCAGCACCTCCGCACCGACCTCGGTCCCGGCGCGCAAGCAGCAATGCAGGGCCGCCAGATTCGCCGTCGCAACTGTAAGCGAACCATCCTCAGACCGCTGACCAACGCCACACCTCCAAAGAGCTGGTTCACATGCAGCACCTCGCCTACCACGTTTTATCAGTTTAATGTGGACTGGCTATGTGTCAGAGCTTACAGGTATTACTGGAAACTGCGCGATTAAGTTGATTTTTTGTTATCGATTCACACCCCTTGTAAAATGAAAAACCAATGAGCCCCTTGGCCTGAAAGTGTAATAATTAGATTTCTAAAACAGAGCTTACCGTGCTCGTTGTCCTGGCTCCCACAGTGCCAGTCTAGAAGGGCTGCCACACTCAGGGTCGCCATGTGACCCCTCTCTTCTGGGGACAGGGAGGGACAGAGGACCTGGGCGGTGCAGAGACCCGGCTCTGTCAGGGGGAAAAGGCTAGGAGGAAGAGGAAGGAGAGGAAGGAGCACAAACACTGGCTAAATAACTGAACAGTACTCAGATCCCGTCGTGTGGGTTCTCTATAGATGTCTGTGTATACACAGTGGTTACAGAACCTCTTGGGACGCTTGCTTAATGAGATAATAATGCTGCAAATGTACTGGTTTCATAACAAAACATATCTGCACATACCCCCACACAGACATATTAAACACAAATGTTTGGTCTTTTATGTCATTACAAAGGTGTTACTAATTAAAAAGCACCCACTGAAACTGCTTGTCAATGAACTTTTCAATTCATAACTTTTAGACCTATAACTTGGATTTCAATTTATTAATACTTCAATGTTTTACTTTAAAACTTGTTTTTTCTAAGGTGATACATAATTTTTTGAAACAAATACATGAAGCGATGATTTACATGATATGACACTGCAAATCTGTTGTCCTGCGATTGATATCAGTTCCCAAGTCCAATACAACGCAAAACTGCATTTGTGTTTGCGCAATTTTCTGTTGGAAATGCTTGTTGTATATCCATGCGTCGCACAAGTCAAAGTCTTAGATTCTAAAGATCTAAAAACATTTTAGACAAATCATCATATAAAAACACACAGCAAACTAATTCACTTACAGGCACTTTTCATAGGCTGTCTGTAGCCATGTTGCTTTCAGCACCCCCCCCCCACCCCGCATTGTATTTGTGCTGCGTGCATGGCCGGCTGCATTGTGGCTGCGGCTCACTACTCCCGACTCAGCAATCGACAAGTTTGCGAGTTCAACAAGTTTGGTTGAAGTGGATATTAGACAATTCTCAGGAGACTTATAAGATCCGTAGGACATGTTAATATATTAATACATTATATCATAATTATTATTTCTTACCTAAAATGCATATTTTTACATTATCGGCCACTGGCATCATGACTTTTATTATTTAATTCATTTTATTTGGTTACTAAGCTTTGGACTCATTCCCATTGTGACATTTTCCCATAGGATATGTGTATTTTGGTATGTGATTTTAGTGAAAGCATTAGTCACATTTAGTTTGTCAGAAATGCATTAGTGGCTTTGTAGCAGGGTTGACCGTATGTGCAATACTTGCACACTAAGATTACCCACCACCTCATTTAGTTGTGTATGTGCACAATGTCAATGAAGTTGACTTTGACTTTTACCTCTCGACGCTTTTGCAAAGCTTTTGGACATCAGCACTTTCGACTTCTGACTGGATGTAGCTCTCCAGAGTCAAGGACCACAGCGCCCCCTCATTTCGCGACCTGGGGGGTAAACGGGAAATATGTCCGGTTACTGATGGGCAAAACGATGATTCATGAACTATTTGCTGAATTTTCTGCTCTCTATTCAAAAAAAGGGCTTAGTATTTGCCCCAACACAAACCAGGAGCTCCATCTAGTGGAGGTCAGAAAATACAGGAAATGGTTCATGAAGCTTCATTTGGCCATAACTAAAGGAAGATGTACTGGTACAAAACTATACAGTGACCCATGCAAACTGCAACAAGGTGCCCAGCCTGCGTAGAAGAATCGGCGAGTGAGCATTGCGGCAGATTTAATGTAGGGATCACCGGGGGCGGGGGGCGGGGGGGCTTACCTCTCAAACAGGGTCTCTAATACTTCACATCCTCCTTTGTGCCTCAATCGCTCCGCGGTGACATTCAGTTCCCGGAGCATCCCACAGAACTCGGACACAACGACGGGGCTGCCCTCCATCTCCTCGCACCACTGAAGTGCGTACAAGACCTCAGAAACTGGGGCAGGGAGTCATTAAACAAGAAATCAAACTTCATTACGAAGTCATACAAAAAGATTACACACATGTACATATCGCAGGAAATGTGGGACTTCAAACTGTGACTTTACATCGCGGCTCTCACGGGACTGCACTGGATTACAGCGCTTTTCCGGCTCATCTTGGATCTTGGGGTCATTCATTACATTTAGCTGCTAAGCAGATGGTTTTACCCAAAGCGGCTTAAAATATAAACCCTTTTGGACCAGCTGGATATTTTACGACAATTCAGGTCAAGTGCCTTTTCATAAGGGAAGTACGGCTCTTCATGGGAAATGAAGTAGAAACTCCATGATTTCAACTATTACATCCCTTGCTAACCAGTTACGGTTGAATTATTCCATATCGAACGACGTAGGAAACACTAATAATGAGTCATTTTTTTTTTGTTTTACCACAGTCGTGTTGCAATAAGACTCATCACCACAAGATGTCAGCACAGAGGTCACAGGAACTCTGCATGGCGGCGGAGGCCAGCTTACCTGTGTGCTTGGCATCCGGCGGCCATAGTGAGGCCACACCCTGCTGCTCTTCAGGAACCATGCAGAGGAGCTGGCCCAGAAGGGCTACAGTGGACAGGTGGGAGGGGAGCCGGGGGGAGGCGCGGAGCTTCCACACATCCGCAGGGGGGTAATCGCAGGTGATCCTGAGCCGACCTGACAACAGCGGCCGCTTGACCCACTGCGAAGGCAAGGCGGAGGGCAGGCACATAAGGGACTCAGGCAGGCTGGCCTACTTGCGTAACTGCAGGGCTTAGAGTCTCAGGGTTTGTCGCGAAATCCGGAATTTAAAAACCAGGCCACGCCGCTCTGTAAAGCCCCCACCAGGTGCTGTCCTGCAGATCATATAAATTCCCCCCGGGTCTGTAGATCAGGGAGAGAGCTTCCAGTGTGAGCAGCTGGTTCAAACTTGGAGCTCCAGCTGCATCAAGCCGTACATCATGTCATAAGAACATTAAAGTGACTAAGAGTGAAGGTACAGGCGAAAACCACCCAGCATGCAATGGGGCACCTGGGTTGCCCAGCACAGGTCTACAGCAAGACATCCCCGAGTGTCAGGATACCCTTCATCTGCAAGAATGAACCCTGAGTGAAGACGAGGCCTTTGTCGAGGCAGCTGCAGAACACAACAACCACCAGGATATCCATCCACAGAACACTGCTGTCAAGTCGTAACTGCAGGTGGGATCGCGTGTAGGTCAGGGAGCCACAACGAATTAGCCAATTAACGCCGGTAATTAATGGGATATGCGAACACAGTGGTGGTACCCGTGTCTGCCATGCCAAGCACGCACACAGGCATAAAACTTGTTTCCTCACAGCTTGTGAATGGCCGCGTTTACCTGTGGGGGCAGTGCCTGTCTCATCTTTCTCCATTCCTCCTCGGTGGGGGTCAGGTGGGAGATGAATTGCACCAGCAGATGGGGGCCGCGCTGCCCGGCATTGATAACGGTCTCCGCCAGGTTCTGCACTGCTGCTATCAGCACCTGGAGGCTGGATAGTGTGTCGGGATCCAATTAGCTGACAAGCCCCGCCCCCAAGCCCTGCCCACCAAGCCCCGCCCCCCAAACAAGGCAACCTTTCATCAGGCAAAAGTTTAACTGGATCCTAACAATCATATCCCCCTCACCTCTTCTTCCCAAAGGTGCACGAGAACAGCTGGTTTTTGACCCACAGGGCGGCGCCATAGAGGAAGCTGCCCTTCCTTATCTCCGGGTCAGAGTGGCCCACCAGCGAGCTAGCTCCGGTGAAGCAGGCGTGCCTCAGCTTCAGCAGGGATGAGTCTGCGCCCACGGAGAACATACGAAGCTTTAGAAGGATGGCTCAAAAAGACTTGTTGTTCTGAGAACTTTCTCTGAATGATATTACATTGTTCAGCCCACTGGTTGACACAGTATACTCTCCCACACTCTGTAATGGAATCATAATGCTGTAACAAATACCCAGTCTTGCCCATAATACTGTAACCAAAATCTATTCTTACACATACGTCTACTAGCCTGATGCCTCTTTACGTCCCATGAATGTTCTTGTGCTGCACTTTCTGGTCTTTGAATGGTCTTACCATGTCCTTGCTTTATTGGATGATGTCGTGCGGCTCTTGCTCCAATACTCCTCACATTCGTACCTGGACATTCATTGGAAGCTCAGCCTAGCTGCACTTATGCCTATTTGCCTCACCCGTACGTTGCTCTGGACAAAAGTTCCTGCTAAATATGTTACATATAAATGCAAATGTAAATAGAACCCATTGCCGATTCGCGCAACTGTATTCTCTGCCTGAGAGGCAACGTAAACAGTAAGGAGCTGTATAATGGGACGAGCATTCAGCAGCTAGCTAAGGGTTACCAGAGAGACGCGTGGCGTCCTGGTCCTGGGCGCAGAGCTGGAACAGCGTCAGCAGGAGGTCTTCGGCCGAGACCAGCTGCAGGCAGCCCTTCATGGACGAGAAGAAGTTGGACGCCACGTCGCAGATAAAGGAGACCAGCGGCTCCATGTCGCCAGCATCCAGCAGGCCCTTGGCCTCCGAAAGCGTGGAGTGCAGCTGCTCGATGATCTTCTCCACGTACGACTCGCCGATTACCGCCTCTGTGCACAAGGGGGAGGGGGTGCAGTTAGGGTCTGAAGATCCATCACATTAAAGACGGGTAACTCTAAAACTATTTATCCAGCTGGGATCCAGTGAAGAAAACGTTTCTTAATACTGATTGAAATATTGATTCAACATGAGGAAGAGGAAGTTGGCAAGGTCGCACTGCCACAAGTGTGACATCATCTTAAAGCCCGACCTTTCCTCTGTATATCCTGTATAGTACAGGGTAGGAAATAATTGCTGGATTTCAGGTGGATGTGCTTGAGCAGACTCAAAAAAAAAACAGTGATGCACAGAAAAAAGAAACTATAGCAACTAATATGTATGACTGAGGTTTGTATTGGTAAGGGGACCCAAGAGGGCGTCACAGTTAAGGTAAGACGTCACAATGCCTGAATGAAATGATCAGATTAGATGAAGAGGTGAGAGAGTCAGGGGAATGAGGAATGGGAGCCCTTGCCGTTGTTCAGCTGCTGGGAGAGCACCAAGCTAACCAGTGCCCAGCTGTGTGTGTGGCTGCCCGTGCTGGGGGAGACCCCCATGGGGCCCCTCAAACCGGCCGTGCAGAGCCTCCCGGCCAGCTGCACCAGCTTCTCCCCCAGAACGGGGCCCTTCATCCAGCTCGCAGCGGCATCCAGCAAGTCTGTGTCTGCGCACGCCTGAGACAGACGGAGAGGGGGAAGGAGGGAAGGAAGAAAGAAAGAAAGAGAAAGAAAAAGAAAGAGAAAGAAAGAAAGAAAAAGAAAGAGAAAGAAAGAAAGAAAAAGAAAGAAAGAAAGAAAGAAAAAGAAAGAACTATCTATTACAAACATGAATCACTGGTTCCGTCTAGCCAAAAGACAACCCTTGTTAAACACAAACTGAATTTCATAACCCCGAGCCTACCTTCTGGATGATCTGGAGGAGGACACCCCAGCTGAGGTCCATCTAAGTGAGGAGAAAGACCCATTCACTATATACGCTTTCAGCACTTTTTTTATTTATCTCACAGTCCTGTCCAGTTTATCTGAAATTTACTCTGACCGTCATAACATGTCCAGCAGTCCAGCTAATTTGATGTCCAGCTTATGTTGACCACCCTTTGTTTGGCAAATTTTGCCACCCATAATTCAAAATCCCGCATTACCGTAATATCGCCCAAGCCTAAGTCACAGTTATTCTGGCCCATCAAACATCCAGAGTCTTTTATAACCATACATCAGTGACACAAAATGGGCTTTAATGATCCTGTAGTTTTGTCGGGGGTCTTACATTGGTCATGTGGTTGAGAATGAGGGTCTTCTCCTCCTGTGTGCTGCAGCAGAGGAGGGAGCTGAAGACCATGCTGACCAGGAGCTCCGTATCCTCCTCTCGCTCCCGCCTCAGCCAGACGACTACCTTCCGTAGGAGGAAGAGAACGGCAGGGTTTTGGGTCAGCGCCTCCCCAGGCTTCCTCAGGCCTTCGAGGCTTGAGTCCATCCCTCTGTCCGCCTCCACATCCGCGTCCAGCAGGGCCTGGAACAAGCGAGGCGAGGCGAAGGAGCGCAGGAGGGCAGAGAGGAAGCGTAGGTGGTGCGCGGAGTCGCGCTCAGTCACGTACGTCACGGCCAACTCCGCCAATGCGCACACCAGCCCCTCCAGACGGCTGCTCTTCAGGGGGGGCGGCTCCTCAGTCCTCTTTCCCTCTTCCCGAACCTCCTGCTTGCCATCTTCACCATCTGGGTCAGCGAAGCAGAGCTTCACTGCCTTCTTCCCGCGTCCAATTGCACCAGATCCAGCCCTGGGGTCCCTCATGGTCCGTAGCAGCACCGCCACACCCATCAGCGCCCCCTGCTGTGCCTCCTCACTGTCCACACGCTGCACGCACAGCCGCTCCAGGCCCTCCCAGAGGTCAGACACCAGCCGGCAGAAGGTGGGGTCAGCAGCCTCGGCCCCGCCCTCACCGGGGGGGCCCGCTCCCCATCCACCTCGCTTCTCCCAGGAAGCCAGAATGTGTGTGACCTGTGGAAAGAGGGGCCCGTTCTGTAGGGCCGAGTTGCCGATCGCGCTGTCCACCAAGGGCAGGAGCTGAAATGACAGACAGGGGGCGCCATTTCAAACCAATGCACAGGGAGAACCACACTTCAGACTAGATGCAGACTGGTAACAGTTTCAAAAATAATAGAAAAGTATCACAGGTGTCAAGTCTCCCAATTTCACCTACACAGTTTATTATTTAGCCCATATTGCCATCTCACAGTTCGTCGTGCCACCAAACCAGACAAAATGATGGTGTGAGTCAACGTGGAACATGAATTAATCCAGCAAGTCTCACCATCTCCAACCCGCCGTCTCCGCTGGCAAGTTTAAGGAGACACCACCTTTTTCTGATGGCTCACTGTTTTCAGCAAATCGTGCAGGTTTTAATTTAATCACCCATCTCACCGTTTTCACTGCAGCTGAGTTGCTATGTGAGAAGCATCAAGCAGAGAATGTTGACCTGATCTGCATCCCTGTCAGCTTGGGGGTTCGGGTAGAGATACTGCCCTTTACCACTAAGAAAATCCCAGAAAAATCAAAGCCAGAGAGAAGCCGCCGCCCCACCTGGTCTCGGAGCATCATGTTCTGGACCCTGCGATGCTCCTCATCCTCCGTCGCATTCTGCAGCACGCTGTACCGCAGGCACTCCATAGTGGCGGAGATTATGGCTGCGCTCTCCGATGGGCTGCAGGCGGCCCGCTCACTGGACAGCCTGGGGTGGGGGGGGGGGTGAGCACTTCAAAGGCAGTGAAGCTTTTGTGCATTCAAAGCCTGGACTGGACACTGTCAGAGGCAGGTCCAGAAAGTACAAATCCAGAGCAAAATCTTGGTCCGGATTTGTTCTTTCTGGACCTGAAATTTCCACCTCTGGATACTACGTTCAATTCCACAGTTTATTTTCCCTTCAATAGTTCCTATCTTTTCACACTCCATTTTGCAAAAGCTTATCCCGTGCAGACTGGCAGGGGCCTGGGAGCCTGTCTCAGGCAGCACTGGCCACAGGATCCCAGGAAGCTCACACACCAGTTACCAAAACTGGATGTGTCTGGAATAGTAACCAGAGCAGCCAAACACCATGCATGTGGGGGGTGGGGATGAAGGCGACCGTAGTGCCCATTGAGGCAATATGGCGACAATACTTGTCATTAGGAAACTGAAATTTATTGCCTATAAATTACAGATTAAGGCCCTAATTGCCCTTACAAAATCAAATGCTCTGCGCCGTTATCAGACATCGTGTGCCTCTTGACGTTTTTCCACTGCCGCCAGGAACCGAGCCGTACCGTAAACCGACGGATTTCCACTGCAAATTATGAGAGCCGGACCCGACCCGACCAGGGCAAAAAGTGTGGCCAAACCCAGCTGGCTGCATCACCGCCATCTGGTTTGTCAAAAATGGTCGAGATATGGGTGTTCTGTGCAGGAAAAATTATTAGCAGTATTGCACACCCAACTGTATTAATGCATTTCTGATAACTCGGAACTTGAAAATTTCCAACCTCCTACTTAAAAAAGCACTACAGCTAAATGGAATGTATTTCTAATGCAAATTCACATAAGCAAATGCTAATTCCACTAGAGATTGATTGATGCTAATATAACACAACGATTCTCACAGATGTGCGAGTGGGAATTAGCACAGAGTAGCTAAATATCAATAATCATTGCATACAGTAAACCATGATGTACACTGTGTGGACAGGTTTTATGTTACTGTCACTCCCCAAACCCGGCAATGCCTTTACTGATCCGACCCATCTGCAGTGGAAAACCGAAGGGAGCAGTAACCACACTGTAACTAGTTTCTCTTTGCGGTACGACTCGGGTACGACTCGGGTACGACTCGGGTACGACTCGGGTACGACTCGGGTACGACTCGGGTACGACTCGGGTACGACTCGGTCCCTATATGCCAATGAAAAAGCGCCATCTGTCCGGCCAGAGGCAGCAACAACCAATAAGGGCCAATGGACTGGGAGGCACGCACCCCTGGATGATGGAGGTGAAGAAGGTGCTGTAGAAGTCCAAGCCCGGGTCAACAACCTCCTGAGGAAGCTTGCTGATGAAGGGTAGCAGGTTGGGGTAGAGAACGGTGGCCAGGCCCCGTCCGCCCTCTCTCAAGAGGAGCCAGAGCTTGGGGAGAACCCCCTTCCGGGCATTAACATGGAGCCAGCAGTCCTGTCGGAAAGTGGGGGGGGGGGGGTGATTGTGAACGATTAACGATAAATGATAAAGTTGACACAGAGGTTAACCTTGGATATCGGTGTCGGTAAGCAAGCTGCAATTCCATTAATTGTCACTAGGTGGTGCTAACTAAAGAAAACACATGAAAGTGGCGAGATCTGAAATGCTCTCTAAAACCCGCATTTTTTTTGGGTTAAAGTTTCATCCATCCACCTGTGTTGGTATAGGCGTGATATTCGGAGGGGCACAGGATTTCTGCAGCGTGTGCATGCCTACACACACTCACCATCAGAGTATGGTTTCAATAATGTCGAGACTTCATTAGTATTTGTTGTAGCGAGGTATCGCAGGTGCATCACTGCTCTGCCGATGATTTAAAACAGACGGCTGCTTCCCTCTGCCCCCCCCCACAAAATACATTTACTTTGCCTGTTCTGACGCACCTTTGCAAGATGTACTTTTCAGCACATCTGACGGTGGCACCAAATCTTACATTCCTTCAGCACAGGCACTCCACCGCCCCCAAGTGGAAATACTAAGAATAGCAGGCTGGATTAGAATTTTTATTAGCTGAAGGAGGAATGAAGCAGTGCTTAGAATTCAGCTCTTGAGTTTAACATCTTGTGCTTAAGACCATATGTCAGCTGACCACCTGCTTCTAGCGTCAATCAGGTGCTAATTACACCATGTTCCAATAATTATTTTAGTTTTATTAATTTAGCAGATGCTTTTATCCAAAGCGACATACTGAGTAAGCAAGGTCTCACAGCCCATGGAGTAATTGGAGGTTAGGGACCTTTGCTCAGGGGCCCAATGGTGACATCACTCTGCAGACCCTGGGATTAAAATCTGTAACCTTCCTAAACCCCAAGTCACACGCCACACCTAAGATTTGTAGCACTCAGTTTCTCAAAGATCAAGGACATTCAACTGCGGTGCAAGCGGAAGCTTAAAGTTCTCCCTCAGCAGACAACACGTTTTAAATTATATTGCACTACGTATTACCAATATCAAGCCCTTTCATCTAAACTTTATTAAACAGCCATAATACGGGAAAACGACTGTATACTGGGAGGTTCATCCAGCTCCAGGACCAAGGGTGTTTATCAAAACCAAGATCGCAAAGAAGGTACTTAGTATTCTTGGCAAGAGCAGTCTTGCTAACTTGTCTCCCAAGAATGATCTTGGGATGCAATGAATTATGGGATCGTTCCCGTTTGGTGATGTTGCAACTGATGCATGCCTGATATTTGAGGCAGGGCAAGAACATCATCCAAGGATTTTTACTGTCCTCTGTACTTATGTTCTTGAGTATTGGAACTGTACTTCAACAATGGAAGATGACGTCAAACAGGTATGTGAGAATGCGAGTACAGCTAAATACGCATACTGATAAACACCCCTAGGGAAGCTGGTGGACCAGGGAGGGGGCACCTTGGAGACACTCACGGGGACGCTGGACAGAACGTGCAGGACAGCTTCCCACAGAGCGGGAAGCACCACAGGGTCCGTGTCGTCGATGCTGAGGAGGACCATGGGGCAGGCGCGGGAGGACTCGGCCAGGATCAGCTGGGGCGTGCACTCGCAGAGCGCAGACACGGCCTCGAAGAAGGCCCCGCGAATCTGGCGAGACGGAGAGGGCGTACGATGATTTAATGAACAAACCTGAGACACAATGAATCATGGGATTGGTCTTGTTTGGTGAGGGTGCGACTGATGTATCCTTCACATTTGGGGCAGGGAAAGGATGACATCCGGGGACTTTTACCATCCTCTCTTCTTAGTATTGGAACCTCTTCAGCAATGATAGACGACATAAAACGGGGAACCGAGAAATACGTTCAAGTACGCAAGAGAAACACCCAATATTGTTAGCCGGCTATGCTAACGCAAAGCCCAAGGTGCTGCTGCCGGCGCAGAGAACACGGCCCACAGATGGCACCCCTGTGTTCCCCCCCCTCACCTGTGGGCTCTTGTGCTTGCCGTACTTCCAGAACTTGCTCTGCGCGAGGAGGTGGGCGAGCTTCTCTGCCAGGGGATCCAGGTCCCGTTGGGGCAGAGAGGTCAGCAGCTTCTTCACAGCCAGCAACGAGCTGGTCAGCAGGCGCGTATATTTGGCCGTCCTCTCCTCCTCAGGCACAGTCCTGAAGGGGGCAGTATTGAGCGTCAGTCTACAGGACAACTCTTCCCTTGCATAACAAACTCTGCTGCATTCAGGAGCTTTGCACTCTACCGTGCTGTGCTGAGGGTCTGGGGGAGGGGGTGCATAAAAAGGAGAGTGATGGAGCGTCGCATGTCGCATCACATGACCTGGCTGCATGACCAGTTTGACCAGAGTGAAGGAAAAGCAGCCAATGAGAGCTCAGCATATGTGGGAGCTCCATCAGGACAGATGGGAAAGGATCCCAGGAGGCCACTGGTGTAGAGGAGACAGCAGGGTCAGCCAGTCCCTGGGGCCCAATGGTGGCATCATTCTACCGACCACGGGATTTGAACCAACAACCGTCTGAGTCCCATCCCACAGAACCAAACAAAAAATTACATTGTTTTGCCATAATTTAGCCACAAACACAGAACAGTCCTGTGGCAGGCATGTTTCTCCCTATACGGACAGGTTGATGACCCCTGGTGATGGGGTTAGTATTTAAGCTTGGGTAGTTTGGACAGAAAACCGTGCTGACGTGTGTCTGTGGCTTGCTACTTACTGGGGATCACTGACGGTCTCAGGGGTCTCCTTCAGCAGGTTGTCGAGGAGGATCTAAAGACAACAATGCTCACTTTGTAGATAAAAACTGCACCAAGGTGACGTTTCATCGCTGGGGCGAATGGAGGGGGCAGGGATGCTGCTAGAGATTACAGGCCTCATGAAAACTCATCATATTAGGCCCCCAACCCAGACTAATTCAATTTAAAAATTTTAGGGCCCCAATATCCAATACTTACACTGAGCACTTCCTCCTTGCAGAAACTCAGTGCTTCCGTCTGCTTGTTGAGAGGGAAGGCCACCTGGAATGCCACAACCGCAGCAGAGGCCGCCGGGGGATACGTGTCGCACTGAGCGATGAGCCAGTGTCCCATGATGCTCTTTAGGTACGGGGCCAGGTTCCGCCGGACCTTCAAAATCAGCTGTTCGAATGCCTGCTGTGTGGCCTCTCGGACGCGACGGTCGTGATCCTGATGGAATGTGTTTCAGAGCAATAACCGTGTCACCATTTATGGACACACAATTGAGATGAAGACATCATACACAAAATGGAACCAGACTCACATACAGCGCTATGTAATCAGTGACAACACATCTTACCAGAGATATCCTGCAGTAGATCCTGGGCCAGTAAGGAAGAACACCTTTGACAATCTCAGATTCCCGCTCTTGGCACATGGCACCAAATTCCTGAACAGCCTTTAGGGAGTAAATTTCATTCACCAGTTCAGTCTTGCCAAATTAAAAATAAATGAAACTATAGTTGACAAGCACAGACTCTATTTCTTCACGCATATTCTCATAAGAACGAAACCATATGTAAATATAAAAGGACCACTTCGTAACAAACCTTCAGTTTGGTGACGGTGTCTCTTTTGGACAGTTTTCGCAAAACCATCCGGAAATCGGCGTCTACTAGGCTGTCGATCTCGTCTGCCCCGTGCACCGCGGGCACGTAGCCCATATCGCCGGACGAGGAGGTGCTGAAGCCTACGAAACCGGGTACGGCACCCGTCTCCCTGGCCAGGAGCTCGGCGGCCCTGCCGCTGCTAGAAGGCTACCAGCAAAGCGAAAAAACAACGTATAAACACACACTGTGTACAGCTGTCGCATATACGTGGATTTAACAAGTACTGATCTCAAAGAGTCACTGTCACTTGACAAGACATATTACAAACATAAGAAACATCAGACTTAAAGGAGGTTACATCATGCATTCTGAAATGGATAAAAGTACGCGAACGCACCCGAAAGTTTCCTTTGGTCCTTTGCTTATTTTTGCCTCCCATTTTGTCCGGTTCACGAATCCTGCGTGCGACGGAACTCGGAGACTCACATGTTAAGTAAACTCTCGTCACTCCGCTGTGCGACAGCGTTGAGCGGCCGGTCCCCGGAAACACGTGATGTCTGAGGGCTCTTAACCGTAAGACGCCATTTTGACTGCTGGCAAACGCCTGTAGAGTGGAGTTTTACCGGAAATACGTCACCTCCACAGGAAACACGTGATCTTTAAGGACGTAAAGTGGAGCTCCGGTTAGGGTTAGGGTTAGGGTTAAGGTTTATTTGCTGTGGCACAGAGTTGAGGCCACGTGTTTCCTGTGGAGGTGACTTATTTCCGGTGGAGCTTCACTCTACAGGCATCTGCAGCTGGACCCTTCTCAACCCAGTGGAGACGCTAGTCGTATGTGATGTATAGTTTCTCGTTCGTGCTGCCATATTATTAAACTTTAAGAAATACACTCACCTAAAGGATTATTAGGAACACCT